GGCTAGCCATTCTTTATGGCTGTTCTGTTTGGTTTTGTTTGGTTTTTGGCCTGGGGTGAATTTTATTATTCTTCATTACTATATGGCAGTCCTCTGGAAGAGTAAACAACAGCCACAAACTATGGAATTTCTGAGCCATTGGGAGGCAATGACAAAGCAGAGTGAGACCTGGGAAGGTTTAGAGCAGGCAGGTCCAAGGGACTTTCCAAGAACATTTGACATTTGGATTGGGGCGGCTGCCTGTCACCTGTGTGGAGTTAGCCAATGATCCAGCTTGGTGGCCCACCTGAGCTGCAGACACATGCTTGCTCAAGCAGGATGTGGGTGTGGGTCTGCACTCAGGCACAGAGTTCTTTGGGTTTAGAGTTGGGTTTTTTTTTTAGCTACCACCAAGATTCAGGTCACATTCTGGGTATGTGACTTAGAGCATTTTCCTGTCAAACCTTCACTTACAATGAAGATATTTTTTACTTCTAGAAAACAGTGCCAGCACCTGTTTGGACCCGGCATTCAAGGAGAGGCTGGAATCAGGTCATGAAGCCCCATCAACACCTTTTGGTCCCTTTTCCCCCAAGAAAAAGGCATGTTCCATAATAACATAACCACCAAGGCATGTTTTCCTTTTCCGAAATCCCAGTATGGCCAAAGATCCAGTGAAGTTATCATTTAAATCATGAGTTCCCCTGTTTTGTTGAAAAAAATCATTTTGATATAAAAGACTTTTATTCACATGCTACTTCCAAGAAGACATTATTGGGCAAAGTGAGGTGCCTCCCTGGGCTTCCCTACATGTTTATACAGGTGTTGCTGCTCAGACGTGTCTGACTTCTCTTGACCCCATTTGGGATTTTCTTGGCAAAGATGTTAGATTGGTTTGCCATTTCCTTCTCTAGCTCATCTTACAGAAGAGGTAACTGAAGCAAACAGGGGTAAGTGACTTGCCCAGGGTCACTCAGCTAGTAAGTTTCTGAGGCCAGATTTGAACCCAAGAAGATGAGTGTTCCTGACTGTAGGCACGGTGCTCCATCTACTGTGCCACCCAGCTGTCCTTATGCAGTATAGTACAGTACAATTTATAAGGTCCCTTCCAGCTTTCAGGTTCTGTGATTCTTTGCCCAAGTCAGACCCTCTCTCCCCCCCAAACTTTGGGAATTCTATACAGTTCCCTCACATACCAACAAATAGGAAGCTAACACACTGACAAGGGGCTTCTTTTCCCCATTACTTCAGAGGCATCATGGCATCTCACGAGTTTAAAAATAAAATAATGAGAAAGCAGTTTTTCAGAGCAACGTTTAAATTCATCGATTCCACAGCAAGTACATGTCTGTGGCAACTAGTGCAGGTCATTTGAATTCACTGAACTTCTTTCTATATCTGTACAGAAAGAGACGTTCTCCAAGACACTTGAAGATTCTGTGATGCTCGCAGCTCCGTAAAGCGTCTTGGAGAAGAAAAGGGATGAATTTAAAATTAGATCGAAGATTCAGCTTTGACCAGATCTTGGTCACAGACTTGGATTCAGTTCCGGACTGTCCTATTCACTGCCTGTGTGAGTAACACTGGGAGAATCAAAAACCTTCTCTGGGGCTCGGTTTCCTCAAGTGCAAAATGACAGGGTCAGACTAGAGAATATCTTAGAATCCTAAGCCTCACAATACTAAATAAAATTTCAGTGAATCCAACGAATCCCACGAACTGATATTGTTTACAAATCATCTTCCTTATCATTTGTAAAACTATTTAGTATTTTGAAAATCCATTGAACAAAACATGCTTCAGGAGTAGCTCTATTCTTAGTCTCCTTGATCAAGACCCAGAAAGAAAAAGCAAAAAGTAACAACCTCCGTCATTGCCCTGAGGGAACAACTCTCACTGAGAGTGTTACACAAGGGGAGCAGAGCTCCCTGGACTTCTCTGCTTCTGCCTCCCAGTCACCCACCCTCAGCTAAGCACTCTGGCCCAAAGAGTACTCTGGAGGGAGGCTGAATTTGAATCCTGGCTCTGCTACATCCTCACACTGGACTTATCTTCATAGCCAGGCTCCCAGGCTCAGTTTCCTCCTATCCTTAAAGTGAGTATGTTGGACTGGAGGAATCCCTCGTAAGGTCCCTTCCAGCTTAAAGCTACAAATTCCTTTAACCTGATAGAAACAGTAGTAAACAGTCTTACAGAAGGCCAGGCAAAGAGGTGACTCGGGGCAGAAAGGAGGCCCCAAACTCTACTCCTGCCATGTGATTGTGTCCCAAGGACCCTGCTTGCTCACAGCCTATCTGCAGGTTGCATGCACTGAGCTCATGGTTCCCTGAGCGTAGGGGTGACAGGCACTATTGGCAAGGAAAGTCCCTTTCAGGACTGGGCCTGGCAGGGAAGAGACAGTCCGAATGGGCTGCACAGCTCCCTGGGGGGCTGAGAGGGGACAATCACCTGGCTTCCAGGAAGGCTCTGTCTGGTGCTCAGGGTCCCCTTCAGGACAGAAGCTTCTCAAGAGCTAAGACCCCATCTTTCTCTGTATTCTAGTCAAGCCATCCCCTACGGGGGAACCAATGTCTTTTGGCACAGTTCTCACAATGGAGGGCTGGGATATAACTCAGAAGAGAATAATTAAGAATCTGCCTAAATCCAGAAGCCCAGTACAGAGTTAGGGTTTTTATAATGCCAAAGAGAATAACAGAATGTGGGAGCTAAATGAGCCCCCAGTAGCATCTAGCCTGACCCCTTCATTTTGCAGAAGAGGAAACTGAGACCCTGTGAGGGAAAGAGGCGTGCTCAGAGTCACTCAAAGAGTGAACCCCCTTGACAGAGCTAAGCCCAGAACCCAGGTTCTTTGGCTCCTGATCTAGGCCAGGCTTTCTACATCCTACCACACTTCTTCCATTTGGTAAGAGGAGCCTGGCAGCATTTGGACCTGACCAAGACGATGTGGGCCACTACTTAGGCGATGGTGATGCCAAGTGACTGCTAACGGGAAGCCAGCTTGGGCTGAGGTTGCAAGTTAGGGGTGGGGTAAGGGGGCTATGAGTGAGAAAATTCCTTTCTGGGGTATGATTTGATTTCTGGATGTGGCTAAGAACAGAACCGGACACGTGAGAAAAACCAAGAGGTTTCCTTATTCTAATGCCTCCATATCCCCTTCACCACGCAACATTGAGTACCCAGAAACACCAGGAGTCTCAAACAAACACTTCTGAAAGCATGAAGTTCAAAGCAGTCAGTGTCAAGCAAGTCAGGGAACCTCAGAAAGTCAGAGCTGAACAAGATCTCAGACCAGGTTCTGGACCCCTGGGGGGATCTGTGGAGAGATTTCAGGGGGTCCATGAGCTATACCCTAAATTTGATTTTTTTTAGCATCTTCATAACTGTATTTCAATAAAATTGGTTTCCATAGTAACCCTAAGTATTTTATTTTATACATTTCAAACATGACTCTGAGAAGGGGTCCATATAGCCTTCATTGGGCTGCCAAAGTGGGGCAGGACACACACAAAAAAGGTGAAGAACCCCTCGCTTAGACCACAGAATGTCAAAGCTGGGAGGGCCCTCAGATCACAGAGTGTCAGAGATGGAAGGGACATCAGAATAAGAAATGTAGAATGTCAGACCTAACAGGCCCCTTAGAATAGAGACGATCAGAGCTAAGAAGGACTTTGGAACCCAGAACCTTAGACTAGAAAGCATCAGATTTGGGAAAGACTTTAATAACACATTTACTGTTAGAGGTGAAAAGACCAAATAACTCAGAATGTTAGCGTTGGCTGTGTCCTTAGACTACAGGGCTGGGCAGGACGTGGAATGTCAGAACCAGAGGCATAAGATAACAGATTATTGAAACTGGAAGGACTATTACAATGTCGGACAGTGTCAGGGCTGAGAAGGGCCTTAGAATGTGGAGCATAGAACGTCAGAGTTAGGAGAGCCCATGAAAGAGCTGAACGTCATCACGGGAAGAGTTATGAGAACACAGAAGGCAGGGCATTAGATCTAGGATGCCTTAGAACGTAGACCATAGAATACCAGAACTCGGAAGTGCCTTAACACCTAGAAAAGAATGTCAGGTCTAGAAGGGGTCTTAGAATATAGAACATTGATGGTCAGAGTTAGGAAGGACCTTCAAACAAACTCATCTTAGAGACCCTAAAACATGTCATGTAAAGTCAGGAATGGAAAGGACTTTAGCATTTGAATAAGTATTTGATGGGTGGGTTGGTCTTAGAGCATACAACCTAGAATGACTGGAGTTAGCAAAAAAGAATGTCAGAGCAGAGGACCTTGGGCCCCCAGAATGTCAGCACTCGAAGGGAGGGGCCTGAAAATCCCAGTGAGAAAGGACACAAATGAGTGTCAGTGCTTGAAATGACCTTAGAACTCAGAACACGAAATGCTGGAGTGAGGAGCAACCCCAGCGGTAATTTTAACCTGGAGTATGTGGACCCCTAAACGGTCCGGGGATGGATTTGGAGGGCTCATGAACTTAGATGAGGAAAATTACATCTTTATTTATTTTCACTAACCTGCAGTTGAAATTTATCATTTCCTTCAATTATTTAAAAAACATTCCGAGAAGGGGTCCATGGGCTTGGCAAAGGGGGCCATGAGGGACAGAAAAGGTAAGAAGTCTTGATCTAATCCAATCTCCTCATTTTAAAGATAAGCAAACTGAAACTCAAGGAAACGACTTGCCCAAGGCAGCCTGTGCATAGCAGAGGCTATACTCGAACCCAGATCTCTCCCCTTCCAGTTTAATGGTGTTGCCCCTAGACCCCAGCACCTCAGACTGGAAACCCAACCTCTGGATGCTCCCATGAATGAAGGCATGCTTCAAGACTCTATTTTTTTTCTCATTTCCCCACAGACACACAATACATGCTTCAAGCTCGCCATTATGAACACAGCCTGAACTCCAAAGTTATTCATAACCTCCTTTAAAGGTCGCGTGAGCGAGGCCAGACGTTACTTGGTCACCAAAGAAGAAGATGCCACTGCCGCAGCAGCCCACTCACCAGTGTAGACGAACCGGCCAGGAGCACCTTTACAGAACTGTTTGGATTTGTAGGACAGGGTGACCTCCACCACTCCTGGAATGTGCCGAGGAGGGGTCTGCACTCGGATGGCATGGGGCGTTATCAGCTACAAAAATCATACAGGAAACAGACTCTCAATTCCGATGGCAATGAGGGGACTGACACTTCCCAGTTGGATATAATTACCCAAATGACCCCAAATTGGACCATCATTTTCTAATTCTCCCTCTTTGCTGTCACAGAGCGGCTCGGGGCTTGCCCATGTTTTTTAAGAAAAATATCTGCAAATGATTCTGGGTTTTAGTTTACAGGAAAGGCCACAGGGCATCATCCGTAGGAAAATTGCCTCCATATGTCAGGGTGAGCCTGCTTCTGGTCATTTGCACACTAATTGATCGATTGTCTGAGGGTCCTCCCCTCTCAGCAGACCTTCCACCAGAGGGCCCCGCTGGGCCTTCAGGGCATCTCTCAGGGCCCAGCTCTGAGCAGCCACATGGGAATCCTTAGATTAAAAAGGTGGTTTGCCAGAAGGCCCAGGATGCCTCATGGAAGCTGACTCGGGCCAGGTCCCCGGGGGACTCACCTCGCTCCACACCAGCATGGTTCCGAAGACAACCTGGAGGCCGTCAAAGAAGTTGTCCCCGATGATGATGACGGTGGCCCCACCGGTGGTCCAGCCTTCGCTAGGGCTGATGGCCTTTATGCACGGAGTAGCTGCTTGTACAAGACAGAAAACCAAGATCTTAGTCCCTCTTCAGGCCACCGACATCATGTCTCTCTCTACCAATGATAAGTCATGCAAAGCACAGTAGGAAAAAAAAAAAAAGGTGCGTGGCTTCTCCAAGAGGCAGACAAAGGGGCAATCATATATCAGCACAGGGATGTATTTAAAGCAAACTGTTAAATGTTTTATAAAGCAAAGGCCAAGCTACAGAACACGAGTGAGCAAGGGGCAGAGGGCAGGGAATGGCTTGAGAGAGCAAATTCTATGTCAGGGTAAATATGACTATTACAGATGATTAAGCATCGGGGCGTGCATGTGGCATGTCGATTTATCTGCTTCGCTGTACGGATCTAAGCAGAGTCAATCAGAAGGCTGTTGAGGGAGACGGAGGAGCAAATGCTCAGAATTTCGATTCCTCATAAGCAGCTAATTGGGTTGGGTTTTTTCATCCTCGAACTTTGCCTTTCGGTTCAAAACTTCATTTTCCTCTGTCAGTCCATAATTACTACTTTTCACTTTTCATCAGGAAAAAATCAAAAGCACTATATTAGTACTTTTGTCAAAGGTACACATTTTAACATCTAATATTGTTTGTCGACATGAATCCCTGAGCCATTGCCTTGACCTGCCTTTGTCTCCAGGGTCTCCACATTTGCATGAGTTATTACAATGGGGCTGCTGGGAAGAGAGGGAGGCGACCAGGGCAGTCTGAGCCTCCTCCGCGGTGGCAGCAGCAGCGGCAGCCTCAGCACCACCAGCAGCACCAGCATCAGCGGCACCAGGCACCGGGGGCTCCCAGCATCCTGGGAGGAAACGGTGACGAAGCCGGTCCTTCTCCGAGAGGGGCAGCTTTGTTCTCGGCTTTGATCAGCCCTTCTTTTACATGGTGTTGACAGACCTTTTTTTACCAGCTTTGATGGTCTTTTGTATGCTGACTTTCATGCAAAGGAGCAGATCCTAAGATAGACACTTTCCCTATTACAAGTAAATTCCACTGCTCTAATTCTCACCTGCAGGGGTTGGTTTGACGGGGCTGGGCTATTGATTGTCTTCGAGACAATCTAAACGCTGTTCGACTTTTGTGTTGAAATAGTACCTTTAATATCAGAAGAAGGATCCGGCTAAGCGCACGGGAAGGAATAGGTGCCTTTGTGAGTGTCTCTGAAAGCGGAAGCAGATAAGCCAGGATGCGGATGGGTCATGATTCCATCCCAGAATCCCAAGGCCTAAAGGATGTCCGATCACACAAGTCAGATGGGACCTGTGTGACATCACAACAAAAATGGATGATGTCACAGAGTGCTGTCCTTTGTGACAGGCCCTAGTCTAGGCAAGGGCACTTCTCCCCCAGAGCATCAGGCTAGCGTCACCCCCTGGGCTCTGCTCCATCTCTCCTAATAACCTTCTTCCCTAGTGAATCCTTGTCCGTAAGAAGTAAAGCTTAGGGAAGAAAAGGCGTCGTTGTAGACCATGCCAGCCACATGCCGCAAGACCCCGGCCGGCAGGCTCCGTGAGGATTAGTTTCCTAACGAGTTACTCGGTGCAGAGGGTGTTGGCAGCCTCTTCTGGGTCCCTAGTGGAACGTGGGCCAACATGGCACCCGGCTCCACACCCGGCCCAGAGTCAGGAGTCGGCCTGTGGGCAGGCCCAGCCTTCCCAGGCCCATCTCCTGGCACACCAAGTCTAGCTAATCACCATTAGCCATTGCTGTTTGGAGCACTTCAGACATGCCACCTCCCTTTGTTTGCACTAATGTCGGACCAGCCGAGGTTATATTTGCTCATTCCCGGCGCATCTCCCTCAGCACCAAAGGCCCAGAGCACACACTGGGAACCTGCCCTTAACTAGCGCTGTTGACTTCATGCTAATAAGTTCATACAAATTTTCATTTCTGAGGCTTCCGAGTGACATTTGCTTTTCTTAATTGCATGGAGAGCATTTGAAAAGGATCAGCTCTCTAAAGACTGACAAGACTCCTCCAAGGGAGTGACCTTCATCAGCACAGCCAATTATGGCAAATAATTCACCAAAAAAATTACAGTAAACAAATTTACTTTGGAGGTGAGAAAAGGAAAAAAATCGAGGCCCTAGAACGTGCACAAGAGGCTGCTCTTTGGCAGCTGCGGCCCAGCGAATAGACATGGCGCTGAGAAGGTGTGGGGAGGGTGGCCTGCAGCTCTGGGGCAAACACAGACGGGGCCGGACTGGGGCCAGGGCTGGACTGGGGCTGGGGCTGGGGCTGGGGCTGGGGCCGGGCTGGGGCTGGGGCTGGGGCTGGGGCTGGGGCTGGGGCCGGGCTGGGGCTGGGGCTGGGGCCAGGCTGGGGCAGGCTCTGCCTTGCCGCAGTGATAGCCATCTTCTTTCTGCTTGTATTTGCATACATTTCAATGCACATATCGAGGGGGAACATGTGTTCAATGGGAACCATGGCGAAATGAATTACACAGCCAGCGTTAGGGATCTAATGACATACGTGCCCGCCACGCTCAAGCAGATGAGAGAGACTGGGCACAGTGGAAGAGGAAGATGGCAGCAGAGTGAGGGATATGCAGTGGGAGGGAAAGGGAGGCATCCCCTGGTAGGTACACACATACACACACACACACACACACTCATGTGTGATACACCCACCTTCACATGCACACACACCCATGGTCAGACACGTACTATGTACACATGTACACACATACACACGTACACCCCTCACTGACACACCCTGACACACACACCCTGACGTGCACACATACCCCCACCCTAGTGTACACACATATTCCTCACACACATGCACATGGTGACATGCAAGTATGTCCTTCACAGATTCACATCCTGACATGTATATACATCCCTCACACACACACACAGGCTGATGTGCACGCATGTCCCTTACACACACACACACACACACAAACACACCCAGATACACACACATACTGGAGGACAGACATTTCCTCACACACTCACATGTTGTGGGGTTTCTCTCTCTGGCTCCATTAGGCAGCATAACCTTTTTCTAAGGCTCCTGCCTTAAAGAGGTGATTGAGCGGCTGTGAGGTTGCCACATGCCTGGGACGGGCTGACCGCTTTGGGGAGCCTACATCCAGGAAATCACAGTTCCAAGCCCCATCCCTATTGGTTTTGTTAAACTAGAGTTCTCATTGCCGCCACTGCTTTCGATGAATGAACTTGTGAATTGTTCTGCGTGCATGCCATGCCCGCTTCCTGGCTACCTTGGGCTCTTCGAGGCAGGTGAAAGCCAGCCCGCTTCCTGCCAAGGGCCCGATGGCTTTGTCTGAGAGAACTTTCCGAGAGTGCCAGGGAGGCTCTGACTTCAGAGACAAACCCACTTGCCCAAAATGACTCCAGGGTCTGTGTCCCTCCCAGCACCATCGGATAGTGCATCAGTCCCCATCCTCCCTGTCCCTCCCCTTGGTCATTAATCAGCAAGCCCTCCGGAGCCGTTCCCAGCATTTGTCACCTTTCTCTGGATTCACAATATTGAGGCACTCCAACGGGCCTAATCTTGCCTCGTGAAGACTCCTTTGTTCTGCTGGCTAAAATGTCTCGTAATTGTACTTAGGATGTCCAGATGGCTGGCTGATACTCCAGCTGATAGGATTATACCTTTTACCTCTCCTAGGGCCATCTGTTCCCTTTAACTCGCTAAAACCCTGCAGCCTGGATTCAGTTGTCGTTATTGCATAAACCCTAACAGCATTACGGGCACTTGGCATGTAAATCAGTCTTGTGCTGCAGGCCTGGGGCTGGGCTAGGGCTTGCTTAAGGTTTAAACAGAGCCGGAGTCATTTATGGGGGGGAGGAGGGAAGGGACAAGAAAAAATTAAACATTAGTTCTAGATGCTGGGCTGGAAGGCAGAACAATCGTTCTCCCTCACTTGTATTCGACTACTGTAAATAATCTGGCTTGCCTTTTGTGAGCTCAAAGGATTGTATGGCAGCCTTCCACAGCAGCAGCGGGGGGAATTAGTTTACTTGGAAACGATCTGAGTGTGTGTGTGTGTATATACTGCTGGTGAATATTAGATGATTGGATAATGAGGTGTTAGCTAGAAGAGGCTGCACACAGGCAAATAGCTGCGGTTTGGAGTGGGGGCTTTTTCTTTAAAGGATGTGTTGCTAATTCAAAGCATACCATCCCTCCCACAAGATATGGTTCAACCGGGCAGGAGGAAGGAAATCTGGTGCAACCCTGTGCCATACCTTCCAGTGAACTCCCTTTTGAAGTCCTCACCCCCCTTAAGAAGTGTCAGACACTCCCAGGTACAAACCTCTTCCCCGGAAAGAGAGAGACCTCTTCCCAAGATGGTCGTCAAGAACCCCAGGCCCTCATTTGGGAAAAATTCATCTGGACTTAGGACAAATGCCATTCCCCTCCCTCAAGAAAGATGCACTTGGGAGGGAGAGGGGGGCCGAGCCGGGCACGTCTGTTTCAGGGCGGCCCACTGGCTGAAGCAGCCAGCCCGGGGCGCCAAGACAATGGCCCAGTGTGATCAATTTCAAGTGAAAGATATTGAAAGCATTTTGGTGATTCTGTCACCCACACTTAAGCAAACAAACAAAACCCTGGGCTGGCTTCCTTGACAAAGTGGCTTTTGATTGGTCGGCCGAGGTCGGGGGCGGGGGGGTGGCTGGGGGGGTCCGCACAAGGGGCCTTTATTCTTCTAAATGTTATATTTGCTCCTTACAGTCAAATGCCTTTTTTAATGCAGATTTATAAAAATAAATACTTGTACTTGGCTAAGATCATAATAGCTCATTAGAAGAGGCTGAATTTGGACCCAGACGAAAACCTACCACCACAGGGCTGAGAATGCTTCCTTGAACCTATAAGGTTGCTCGTCCTCTCTCTAGGGAGGGAGAGGACTAAGGGAAGAGGATTCAACCTTCCTAATTGTGAACCTCATTAGTGATGGTTGCTAAGCAAAACACACCCCTACCTTGAGCAGCTCAGAAGGAGACAAACAATACGTCAGAGGCCCTAATGGCTGGGGTGTTGGGGCGACCTCTAATTACTGTAGTTTGGTTCTCTGATACCTTAGTCATTAACGCAGAAAAACAAATTAGTTTATTTTGGTGGACCACAGCAGATGCATAAATTGTGCTCCAATCTTGACGTCTGAATCATATTTCATTCTGATCATCACCACTGGCTCCATTCACTTTTCTGGGCAAATGCATTAGTTCACCCCTCAGACAGATGCCCTGAGTCCGCCAGGATCGTTGTCCTCTAACAGTTCCATGGGTGGGGGTGGGGAATTCTCAAACCTGCTGTTGTTAGGGGTTCAACTCACTCTACAGAAATCACCTTGCTTAAAGGAGACTTCAGATCTCTGCCCCTCAAGGTCACCCAAAGAGGAACTCATTTACAATCAAAGAGATCTTACGTTAAGGGGAATCAGGATCCATGTTGGTCTAGAGGGGCTTCTCCTTTCTCCAGTGACCTTTCCATGTTCCTCTAGGTCTCCTGATAATTGCAAAGTATTGAGCCCGTAAGTGTGTGAATATGGATTGGAGGCTAAGGGCGCCCACTGCCACGTGTCCAAGTCTCTCAGATTTGTAAGTGGGCATCTAGGGACGTGTTTCTCTATCCCTCTGTTCACAAATGTCTCACTCTTAACTCTCCAGACAAGAAGTCAATTGTTGTTGAATGGGTGTTGCAAGACAAACATTTTAAGTGCTTTTTCTTATCCCTAAACCCTGCTGTTTTCTTCTGTGGCGTTGGGACCAAGGTCGGAAAACTGACCCCATGGTAAACCCTTCACGGGGTCAGTCATGTGTTTACCATCCATTGGCAATGGCAGACACAACCTGAGTCTCCCTACCTCTGGAGCAAGGATTATGACAAGCCAAAATAAAATCAAATAAATTAAAAGAGCAAGAAAAGCTATAAGCAAAACAAAGCTTTTAAACAAATGGAAGGAAAGAGAATGGAAAAGAGTTTTTTTTATTTTTTAAGTGGGCTAAGCGCAAAACATGAGGCATTAAAGGAGAGGAATCTCAAGAGAATGTAAGAAGCAAATACAGAACTGTCCTCTGCTTGACAAGGCCTGGGATGCTTTTTAATGGGTAGTTTGATCAATGGGAGGAGGGAAAACCATGTGAAAATAATTGTCGAGTGTATCAACACAAAGGATGATGCAAAAAAAAAAAAAGCATTGCAAATAAAAAAAGACATGTAAATGTGTGCCTACCATTTTCCAGATAAGAAGGGGCCGTACCTTCTGACGGGTCAAGGCGGCGGGCCCGCCTTCCGTGTTTGGAGTTGTTGTGCACAAACATGTTGTCGGACACAGCCAGAACGTGGCCATCCACGTTGACTGTAGTTGATACAACAACCTGCCAAGAGAAAGTCAGTTGTAACATGGGATTTAAAAACAACAACAACAGCATATTTATGTGGTTTTTTACTTTGTTTTTTAATACAACTTTAAAGGGGGAAAGGAAATCACCTGATTGTGCCTGTAAGTTTTCCATTGATGCCCACCCACCATTCGCTGGTCTGGGGCTAATAGTCAGGATTTTTTTTTTTAACTCACAATTGTTTCTCTTCAAAACCTGCTACACTAATGAGAGCTTAATCTCCTATTATGCTAACAAGTGAATTCAATTCAGGGAAATATTCTTCTAGCCATTAGCTTCAGAAACACCCCTCTAGCCACTCATTTTAAAAGCTGCTGTTTTGATCTGTTGATATATTGATTAGATAGTTTATCTAATTAAAATTTGTTCACTTGAGACTGCCTTCAAATGAAGGCTGTGAGGATCCCCTACTACCAGCAACTGCTGAATAAATCAGAGCCCCCACTCCCTACATTCTCTCAGTAAATGATCTCTGGGTCAATTTCACAATTACATTTAATGTCTGATAATGAACTTTTTGGCATCTGAAAAGACAGAGTGGAAGATGAATAGTGAAAGTGTTTTCAGTCCCCTCGAAGTACCCCTCTTCAAGTTCATCCGGATGGTGAATGACCCGGGCATACCCAGGGAATTTCCTCCATTGTTTTTGAGTGAAAGGCGCCTATTCTTGTGTCCAGGTCCAGAGCCCGGCCAAAGGAGAGATGATGGGGAGGGCCTTTAGCTCCCAACTACTTGTTGGTACACACTGAAATAACAACATAGGCAAAGGGGACGACCTTGCTGACCAAGACAGCATCTCGGAGGTTGGAGGCGACACTCTCCAACAAACCAGTGAAATGGGGAATGACCATTCTTTTAATGGTTTTTTAAAATGGTGGTGGCTCCAAAGGGTTGACGTCATTTGAATAGCAAAGATAGAAGCACAAGTTTGACGGGAATATTACAGTACGGTCCCTTTGGTGCAAGTCCAGATTGGAATCCCGTCCCTGGGATGAACGAAGTTGTGAGTCTCCTCCTCAGACCAGGCCAGGTGAGTCTTTGAGATCATGCCAGACTTTGGTTAATATCAAGCAAACCATCGCTCAGCCCCTGGAGCAGATTGCAGCACTGTGCAGTAGAAGAATCTGACCATTCCAAATTAGAAATGAGCTATCTTCTGGGCTCTGGGTGCTGACAAATTCGAAATGCCCAACAGAATCCAGCATTCAAAATAAAAGTTGTGCTCATCTCTCAGTACAGTCACAGAATGCATTTTTGAACTTAGCTAATTAATAGGCTTGATCTGAAGATTAAGAAATGGCACCATGATGAGGATACTACCAAAAGATTAGGGTTGGGACTGCCTTACTGACAAAGAGTCCCTTCTGCTTTTCGGTTAGCATCTGAAATATCCTACACCTTCAGGGCTTTGGAGTAGCTCTCTTTGCCGCAGCTTTCTGGATGGGATGTTGGTCCTCTCAGCACCTTTCGGATACATTCTGCCCCAGAGGAGGCCGTGGTCTGGCTGCCCCTTCTACAGGGCCATGGCTTTCCTAGGAGACACCAGGCGGGTCAGTCCTAGAGATCCTAGGAGCACAGATTGAGAGCTGCAGGGGACTTGAGAAGTTATCTGGCCCAACCCCCTCCTTCTATAGAGGAGGAGGATGAGGCCCAGAAAGGGGACTTGTCCAAAGTCACAAGGTATATAAGTGGAAGAAGCAGGTTAGTTGTTAAAGGTTTTATTTTGTTTGCCTTTCTATAGTGTTTTATGATTTGCAAAGCAATTCATACGAGTTAACTCATTTGATCTTCACAACAACCCTGGGAGGTAGGTGCTATTATGTTCCCCATTCTACAGATGAGGAAACTTGAGGCAGAAACATTAAGTGACTTGCCCAGAGTCACACAGCTACTAAGTATCTGAGGGAGGATTCTAACTCAGGACCTCATGACCCTTACATCCCATGTCTATCCAATGTGCCACCAAGCAACCACATTTGAACCCAGGGCCTCTCACTTTAAATCCAACACTGCTTTTGCTGCTCTGCTCTGCCTGTATCTTTTACGAAAGACTCCTGGGGCCCCATCATTGTCCACATTACTGAACTTTGACTTTTAACCTGCTCTAGGCAATTAACCTGGGCATCATCATACCAAACAAAGTTATTATAGCTTCGTGGAAAGGGTGCCTCCTTTCCTAGTCACCTAGACCATGGCATGTTAAAGAGATGGGAAAAGGGAGAAGATAAAAAAAATTTTTTTTAAAGACAACTGTCTTTATTCTGTCATCTCTCTATCTAGGTCAGTCACCAAGGGAAAACACCATAGGTCAGCAGAAAGAGAGGAGGCGCGCTGTTTTCTTTCTCAGCATTGGTTCATTCCTGCAGTGTACCTTCAGAAAGGTGCTGAGATGGGGAAACCAGTTGAAAATATTGTTGAAGACCTGACATCCGGTTAAGTCCAGTTAAACCTTCTGAGAGGCAGGGAGATTAGCTCAAGAGACCGCAGAAAGTCTTTCGAGTGACTCCGGGGTCCCACTGCGAAGCCCAAGATCACTTGTGACTGATGCTTCATTCAGTCATCAGTAAGACGAGGAGGACACATCCACTCACTCCAGGTTTGACCTGCTGCTCTGTTCCAATGGATCAATATTGCCAATGCCGGGCGAGGCCAAGATGTGTGAAAAATGGAAACTGGACTGGACTGTTTGCAAGAAACATTTGTCTCTAAGCTACAGAGCCTGACTGTCGGTGCCTGACTAGGGGACCCCTCCTAGGTGGGTTGGTGACCGTGCATGAAAACAGAGGTCATCTCTTCTGCCATAAATCTTAACCTGGAAGTAGAATTTCTCAGAAAACCATTGGGATGCCTTAATAATAAGGCCATGTTCATCATGCCCAGACTTGGATCGCTGAGTAGAGAACTTGAAACAACCATCCTGTATTTTTGAGTCACGAGTAGGGGCTATGGAGAAATCACGTCTCGACACATCAGAGTCTAAATAATCCTAAAATAGCCAAAGAAGTCGTCGTGCTTGTACAGGACTTGCCGTCCTAAAATTATCCCCTAACAATGGCCAAACTGAAAAATGGAGAGAAGCAGTCCTGGTCTACCCATGGCATTAAGTCAGTCCCCTCCCAAAATAAGATCTGTTGGGGTGAAAGTGGGAACCAAGTCAACTAGGGTAAAGGCCCACAAATCAGCCACTGAGGCTAAACAGGATGAAAAGGTCATCTTGTTTAAACTGTAGGGACAGAATTTAGGTGAGGAGAGTGCTATGAAATTGGTCCAGAGCAGGGAAGGGAATGTAGTACTCCCTTAGGAAAACAGCATGAAACCTTTAAGTAATAGTGCCTGGCACATAGTAGATGCCTAATAAATGTTGATTGATTGATTATGTCACTTCACGGTACAACTGAGGAAAAAAATCCTCACCTAACCAAATTTCCCAATGCCTGGCAAAGACAGAGCACCAGCTGTTAAAATGGCATTATGCTGCCTAGCACACAGTGGGGCTTAATAAATGCTTATTGATTGATTGCTTATGCTACCTAGATTGTAAGCTATGTTCTGGTCAGTCAAACACACATGATGTTTTAGGTGATCAAACAAATGCTAAAGTAGACACTACTTTAGGTTTTTTTAAAATTTGTTTTTACTAGAAAACCTTTTTTTAAAAAACCAAAGTGATTTTAGATCTGCCTATTAAACTTTACAAGACCTGAATGGGAACAGTGTGATCAACTCCCAATAGTGACTTTCCAGGGAGTAACTCTTTAAACTCCTAACCCAACTCGTGGAGTTCTAGATGGTTCAGGATCTGTGAAAAAGTCAAGCCATGGGCCGTGACCAACCCCTGAAGTAAGATTTCAAAGATTACCAGCTTAACCTGGGCCACTCTGGACTCCATGAACTTGGGTCCCTCAAGTTAGCAGGTAAATGTGCAGAAGTATTTTCTTGACTTAAATGTTGTCAAGCACAGAGCACGCTGGTGACTTGGTGTGGCCCAGCAGTGACCTGGGCTCTTGAGTAGCATGAACAGGTCCTAGCAAGATGGAAAAGTCCCACGTCCAGCCTAGCAGCAGACTAGGGCTACTGTTCCAGTAGTAGGCTGGTCACTAGGTGGAAAAATCTTTGGCTACGGAAAGCCACAAATAAGGTTAGTTCCCCAAGCACTAAGGATCATAGAGTCTCAGATTGAAAGCAGGAAGGAGTGATTATAAAGACCAGCTCCCTCATTTTACACCTGAGCAAACCATGACCCAGAGATAGAAAGCCATTTATCCAGGGTCCTATAGGTAGTTAAGAGGTGGGATTGGAACCCAGGGTCTCCAACTCCAAAGCCAGCACATGCTACATACATCACTTTGCTTCCCATCTAAAGATTGTTTTCACAGCAAATTTCCAGAATTGGACAATCAACATTGCATGAAATCATTTGGTTGGACCCATCCTGATACTTTTTCAAATGTGTACCTGGAATCTCCGCATATCTCGGGGGTTGCCTGCATTCTTCAAACAGTTCTGATTGCACTTGAGGAAAAACTTGAGAAAGAATCTATAAAGATACAAAAGTGGAGTCTGTTAGGTTTATTAATCAAGAGATGTGATCGTCAGACATTTTAGAAGTCCAGATACTCAGGCGGCATCAAAACCCAGCCACGCTTTCCTTTTTATTGGTCTTTGCTTGAGCTGAGAGGCCCTGCCCAATCTCATGGACGTCAGGAGAGCCAGGGTGGCCATGGGGATGATGTTAATGACAACGCCACATCACATGATGCCTTAGGCCTTGCACAGTTCCTCACACACACACACACACACACACACACACACACACACACACATTATGGTGGCTGAGATCATGGAGATGGCTTCTGATGAGGTAAGGCCGCTGTACAGTTGGTGTTTCCAAGCTCTCTAAGCAGTTACGACGCGGGTGGAGATTTCCTGGCCGCTTAATAAGTTGGGTAGCTTGGGCCTGGTGGTGAAAAGGAGGGATCTTACCACAGCTGGCCATTAACTGCCAGGAAATGTCCGACCCAGAGGTCATTATTACTTAAGTAAACATACTTTTAATATGGATTTTAAGAGGGTTGGACTTTATAGTTGCAATATGTACAACTCTTTATGAAACACATGAGAATTTTTGTTGAAAGAGGGAGTGAGTGATTTCCATGGAACGTAAGCCCATGTTTTAAAAGGTGTACTGAGGAATTCTGGGGGCTGTAAGGAAACGATTCATGTTCTTTCATTCTTGGCATAATTTTGCTGGGTTTAGCATTGGAGAAGAGGCACCAAATTTTGCCAGCGCCTTTTGGCCAAGTCTCGTATTGTGTCTTGGGGCATAAAGGTGACAGGATGTTGTGAAGCTACAACCTGGGCATTTCTGGGTGGTCCTTTCAGCCCTAAAGTATTCTAGGAAGCTGCCGGGTGACCTGAGATTTACCACCAGAACTTCTGGGAGTTCCATGGTGAGTGAGAGGAAGAGGCTGAGGCCAGCTGCTTTTTGACCTTGAACAACAGGAGAATAGGCCGGTATTTCCCCCAGGTTTCTCCCAGAAATACATTCTGTTTTGCCCATGCAGTGTAATTTTTTTCTACATAAAATCCCTCCCCCCCAACCTAGGCAACCTCATGTCATGTCCCCTTAATAATAATGAGAAATCAAGAAGTCTCAAGAAGGAATCTTGGAGACGTGGTGGCAGAGAGGAGGAGGTTTGCCAGCATCGTTTACGGCTGTGTCCTGAGTGGTTTTCTGATTTTAGATGAATAACTAGGCTGTCCGGAAGGTGACTGGTGCTGGTTTAATGAAGACCCGGCCCATGTCATGAGGCTTCCCTATTTGGGGACAGAATCTGCTTCTGTGCTGACCTCCCCTGCCTCTGCTTGAGCTCCCAGGGCTCTCACTGCCACCGCCGCCCATCTGCCAGCGGCACACAGCGAGTCACCTGATATTCCGCCCACCAATTTTTCCTAACAGCCACTGCACAATTAAAGCCAACACGTTCTGTTGCGAGGTAAATTAGGCACACCTGCGGCCAGACTTCATTTGAACTGCATCAGAAAAGGACCTAACAAGGTGAGAGCACACCACAAACTTATAGCCCTGTCAAGCAATTAGGTTTTCACTTCTGGGACATCCACACAGTGCAATTATGCCACACATTACAACCTGGGTAATCTTCTGAACAAATGTCATGTCTCCGAGAAGCCAGTAAAAGCACTTCATCTGCAAACGGCGGCCCCCTTAAGCCGGCTGCCGCCTTCTGCACAGACGAGGCAAGGACAAGGACCCTTTTGTTCTGTCCCTTCTCCAGGGGAGGCTGTTCGAGCCCTTGGTGATGCCTTCTAGCCAGGACACCTTTTTACCTTGAGCAGAGAAGAGCAGCGATGATTTTCTAAGTAGGTGTGGCTCCAGATCATCACAAGGCGCCTGAGGCTAGTTCAGCTCTACTTTCAGTCCCAAGTTTAATGCTGCCTGCCCCCTCCTCACCCCCAAACAAACAAACATGACTTGTTCTGGTGCCAAATGTAGGGTACACCCATTTCACTCATCCTGAGAAGTCATCACTGTGGCCTCTAGACTAAATATCAAACCAAGTGGTCAGAGATAACCATCCATTTGCCAGGGGCCCAGTCACTATTGGACAAAGCCATTACAACAATAACTAATAACCGTTATTTCCTAGACCAATACCAGGAAGTCCCTCAAACAGGGCAGCAGATGCCTCTCTTCTCACTGGAGTTGACCCAACTAGTTTGCCTCGTTCTTGTCCAGGTTTTCAACTGAAGTGTTCCATTAAGTCAATGGAAAATAGATCAGAAGGAGTCCCCAAAGTGGGATTACTCAAGTGGGATACAACTGGGTGCCAGGAATATGTTTTACCTGGGAATTGTTCACAGAAGTTGGCAATCACCACTAGGGAGAAGGACCAAAAAAAAAAAAAAAAAACCAGGAATGCCAAATCATGGGAGTCAAAGAGTAATTTCTACCTTTGCTGGGTGACCCTTTAATTGACCTTTTCCAAAGAAACATCTGACAACCACTTTACATATCTCACTCCCCAGCTCTGGTACACAAAGGATTTAATGCTCTGGTTTTGAAAGGAAAAATCTTTCCTGTGTCAGAAAATCTTTGGCTTTCATACCAATAAACTCTTTATGACTGCTAACCACGGATTTGCTGCGTGATCGCCAAGAGGCGATAAAAATTCTAACCTGCCATTAGTGCATTATACTTAATTGTGTACAGTATGTTTCCAGTTGCATCTGTTGGCCCATTATCACAATGACCGTTATGTACACTAATTCCCTGACCCCGGCTTTATTTCCCTAAAGAGTCATCATCTTTCACAGTAGGTATCAGAGTAAATCAAGCTTGAAATATGGGTTTTATTTACTTGTTTCTCCCAGGCAGAGGGAAAGGCAAGCACTAAAGACAAATGGCTGTCGATCAGGGCAACTACCTACCAATGTTCTACTTGGAAGAGAGTTGGAAAATCACGGAAAGTCCCAGTGTCGAGGGCAAAGATCCAGTTACCTGGAAAGGCAGGTTGTCACTTTTAGGGTCAATAGGCATTGAGACTCACGGTGGTAGTGGGGGTAGAGCCCAGGTATTCCATTCTTAGGAGAGATGCCTTGACTTGATTCCTCCTCACGCCTTCTCAAGTCAGTAAGACCTATGCTAACTCACGATGCACTGTCAGTGTTGGGACTTAGCCCTGAAAAAGGTCAGCACCAGAGGACATGGGCTGGGTGGGACTACTCCTTAACTCCAGTTGGAAACTAGAGATGAAGAGACCATTGGTGCCAACCTTTGCCTATGCCAGGTCTCTGCCAGCTTGGAGCTTATTTTGTGAATGGCTAGGACTCATGGAATAATACCATCTTCAAATAAT